CCCCCCCCCCCATTATTAGGGGAAACACAGCCTCCGGGTTAAGCCGTTCAGAACACACTGATATTTTTCCTCAGTTCTGTCTTCTGTGGTCTTCACTGGGGGTGAGGTGGGATAGTACGTGGCCACGAGTTCGTCTTCTAGGACAGATTTGTCACTGGTCGGGGGGGGGCGCACGTGCTTCAGTTTTCATTGACAGACTTTGAATTTTATATATAACTTCCTATCCGTCTGAAAGTTTTTACGGCACGCTGGCTGAAATCATACGTGCATGCAAAAAGTTTACCAGGACCCCAGAGAGCCCCCGTGTATCGGGGCAACCTGATGGTTCTGCAGGGATCTACGCCGTATAGACCGGCAGCCAGATGCCAACGTGCTGGCAGGTGCTTAGCTGCTGAAGGAAGTGACCATAGGGAGCATATGCAGCAGAACCCGCAGTGAACTTTACCACGTGACCCTGGGCATGCCTGCTGACCTGGGGGCCAAGGTCATTAGCAGCTGATACGCCAAAGAGTCGAAAGTTTTCACTAGAAACGACAGCTCATATGAGGGCCTCAGCTACTCACAGGGTCAGTCGCTACATAGATTCACAAAATCTATTCAGATAAAGTGATGCTTCGATCTCATCCCGCTCCCCAGTTCTGCCACAGCGGTAACCTTTGATACACGCGTGTAGGGAAGAAATTACGTACGCGTGTGTGTAACTGTACATTTTTCCAGTTTCTGCCAATGAACTGCTTGCTCTAGGAAAGAAGATCTTTAAGCTGTCATAGGCACTAAGAATAGAGAACTGTAAAATTCTCTGAAGTGGTTTCTATCTCCTAGTTGGAATAAGATGTCTCTTTGGAACTTACTTTTACCCTTTAACTTGAATAAATTACACAGAGACAGTAACTGTATATATAACACTTTCTCCCCATTTCACAAGACCTTTCATTCATTCCTACTAGTTCAAATTTGATACAACTCTAGCTATGATTGTCTAATTATGATTATACGTCTTCCCTAATATTGCCATCTTTTTTCTAAATGACTTATTTCTACATTCTATTTGGTTGGCTCTGTTTTCCAGATCATTGAATTACTTTGCCTCTGATTACCACTTTGGCTCCAACCCAAAGAATGCTGTCGGAGTCTTCATAATTCCACGAATCATTTGTCTCAACATTCAAATTTGTGTACAGGCTATTTTTCCCCTTGCAAAATAATTTTATTAAAGCCTCCACATGCCTTTATATGATCTGTTTCATGAATTTCAGCTTCTAAGCTCATCTTTGTATGGTCGAAACCATGAAGGTCTAATGGTGTACACGATCAGCATAGAATCAATACTGAAAAATCTGCCCTGGAGTCGAAGACAATCAAAATACAGTCTCTCTGAGTAATACACACAGCTTCAGATCTACGTGTGTATGTACATATGTATGTATGTATGTATCTATCAATGACCTATCTATCTATCTATCCTTGTGGAAACGAAATGGAACCAGAAAAAAATTAGGTACCTAATATGTGCCAATCTG